AAATTATAAAAACTATTATTCAATTTTCTTTTAGTACTTTCATGGTTTTGTTTTTTCACATTAAGATTTTTTAATGTACCTGATATTATGTTCTAAGTGGTGAGAAAAGGACCTAACTTCATCACAAAAACTAACCAATTTGTTTCTCAGTTAAAACCGAGTGTTATTTTACAGATATTCTTCCATTTCTATAAAAATTTTATACTCTACTCTTAACTATACACTTAGATTCCAAGAAATAATCATCACAAAATGATTCTAGTGTAATTAACTGCTCTAAAACATGTTAATTTTATTGCAACTATCACCAGCTGCATTATGGTAATACAGTTGGAACTTTGTGATGTTCAACTACCAACCACAATCAGTTGAAACAGGAATTTCTTATCAACACTTTATCCACATCTTGTCCACATAGTCGCTGCCAATTGAGTTAAAAAGCCTAGGTTTTGGGTTGCCTGAGTGGCTCATTGGTTAAGAGTTGGCTTGGGAGCGCGAGTTCTGAGCAGCAGGGCCGCTGGTTCAGATCCCACATGGGGTCCAGTGATGCTGCGCCCTCTACAGCTAAGATGATGTACCACAGCTCGACCTGGAGCTGGGCTGCCATGAGTTGCCAACGATGGCATAGGATGCAGTGGGGCTTCAGTGGGCTGCCATAAGCTACCGTGAGTGGCTGGCAGCCAGCGTGAGCTGCCGTCCAATGGCTGGCGACCGATCTGCCTCATCCGGGAAGAGTGCAATGATCACAATACCAACATGGGCCATGAAGCGACATCCTCCACAACTAGACTTATCACGTCCTGTGTGACAAGGGCTGGGGGGCTTGAGGAGGGGTGGTGAAGGGTTAAGAAATCACAAGAGTCAAAAGTAGAGTTTCTGTGGGCCAGGGGACTTGTCTCTTCAGACCAAGAGAGCCCTACTACTGGCAGGTGTAAAGCTTTTATTTAAAAACAGTCACAAAGAGGTCATTTTGAATATCTATACCCAGTTAATTGATTCAAATTAGACTGGCAGCTGCTTCACCTAAACTCATTGTGATTAAGCACGGGTTGTGCTTTCACACATGCTATGAATGATCCCCTGGATGGCATCAGCATTCCAGACCAGCTGATAAGGAAGTTTTACCGAGATCATTCCCTCAGGTCTTAGCATTCCAAGACACTTCCTTATGACTTCAAAGGATCAGTGCACATGACCTTTGGAGTTGGCAGCTGTAAGGTGACATAGACTGAAGAACAAAAGGACAGCAGCTTGTCTATTCCCCTTCTCTGATTCCCCAATGCTGTTCCCTCCCTGAATTCCCCAATAAAAAAACCTTAAAAAAAAAAAGTCTAGGTTTTCAGGATGTGTTATGTATGAATCTTATTGCCAAAAAAGAAATGATATTCTATACTTGTGCGGACTGAACAATTCCACTGAGAAATAGGCGTATCTTTAATAAGGTAAACAGGAACTGGATAAAAGTACTACTTAATAAACTGAAGGCCACAGACATCTCCAACTGATTCTCTCATTTGGAAGAAACGTAAGCTTTATTTCCTTTAAAAGTACAGGTCTTCTCAATAAGGGTTTTTGAAAAATCTGAGCAACTGAATAAATAATTCCAACATAGTACGTTTCATATTATGACGGGGGCGGGGGGTACAGAGCAATAGGTGCCACAGAGACACACAGCATGAGGACCTAACGTTGTCTAGGAAGCCAGGAAAGGTCTACTGGAGGGGCGTTTACCTAAATGACGAGAAGAGCTAGACAGGCCAAGAAGGTCATTTGACCTAGGATTTGAAAGACAAACTGGTTGCAGAAGCATCAATTCTTTGAGTGTGAACATTTCTAAACTGGGGGCGGGGGTGCCTGAGTTCCTCCCATACTCTTTTCCCTGTTTATTTTCTCAAATTTTTCTTTCCAGGTGATTTAAAAAAAAAAATGTTCAAACTTCCTAACTAACATTATAGCCAAGCAATCTATTATAACTTATAAGAGAGCAAAAATTCTTCTTGTCATTGGCCACAGAACTCTATTAAGTATTTCTCAGTGTGCCACAAAAGCACTTATTGGAGATATTTCAGTGAGTAACTGTGTTCTGCTTGCCTGAGGCTAATATTTTTACCCTTACAAGGCAGCAGACTAGAAAACCGGGCAAGGCATTTCATCGATGCCGTTCCTTCAAACATGTGGCTTACTTATGAAAACTGTGTTAGAATTAAAATCCGTATTAAAGTGAAGGAAACGATCAAACCTATAACCCAGAGCACAAAACACTGGACCAAAAGCATAAATATCTTGAAGCTTCTTCTTTATATTTACTAAACAAAGAAGGAAACAAAATGTTCACGAGCAAAGTTCAGCTATTAATTTAAAAATATGGACTACTTTATAGTTTTTTTAAAGGATTATGTAAAAATAAAAGATTATAAATCAGTAACTGAGTTCAAGTCCCAATATTAGAGATAATCACAAACTACACAATTTCTGACCATTTAGACAGTCCCCAAATTATGGTGGCTCCACTTACTGATTTTTTTACTTTATGATGGTGTGAAAGCATAGTGTGAATTTTGATCTTTTCGTGGGCTAGCAATAGTTACTGTCTCATGATGCGGGCAGCGGCAGTGAGATGATTTTGCCCAACTGTAGGCTAATGTAAGTGTTCTGAGCATGTTTAAGGTAGGGTAGGCTACGCTATGCTGTTTGGTAGGTTAAGTGTATTAAATGCATTTTCAGCTTACATTTTTTTTTTTTTTTTTAGCTGAGCCATCCTGCCACCTGTTGGCAGCTCAGCAGCAGCTCAGCTCGGGCTGAGACTCCCACTCTTGAGCAAGCTCTTAATCA